AAAAAAAAAAAAAAAAAAAAAAAAATTCCCATTTTTAGGAATTATGAGAACAGGTCACAAGAAAAATTATTCTTTCAGCATGCAATAAAAGATTTTCAGGAAAAAAACAATGGTAATGAGATTTATGTCATACCTGGTAATCATAAAAAATAGCTCCTGATTATTTCTGGTGACTCCCTGAAGGTACAGAACTTGTCCAAATGACACTCAATGACTCTTCTTTATTTTCCCACCATAATTAGTGTTCTCATTCCTTTTCCTCAGACCAGTTTTGTTTACCCAAGGACACTGATTTTATACTAATAACTCCTAGAACTAATTATTCCTTGGCCCTGAGTAAACATAGCTAACAGATTACACTGAAACATCACTTTTTGTTTTTAATTTTTTTGAGATGGAGTCTCGCTCTGTCACCCACGCTGGAGTACAGTGGCATGATCTTGGCTCACTGCCACCTCCACCTTCCGGGTTCAAGCAATTCTCCTGCCCCAGCCTCCCGAGTAGCTGAAATTACAGGCACATGCTACCACGCCCAGCTAATTTTTGTATTTTTAGTAGAGACAGGTTTTCACCATGTTGGTCAGGTTGGTCTTGAACTTCTGATCTCACATGATCTGTCTACCTCGGCCTCCCAAAGTGCTGGGATTACAGGTGTGAGCCATTGCGAGCAGCCTGAAACATCACTTTATGAGGACCCCATAGAATTGCTTACTTTTAAAATGAAGAAAATGAGGCCCAAAAGAATAGTAACTTAAGAAGTCTGTTAGTGCAAGAGCAAGAACTAGCAAAGCTCTCTTAAATGACCACTTCAGTCTTCACTGCAAAGTCTGATAGCCCAAACCTCAGAATAAACCTTAGATTCTACAAAATATGTAAGATTTCAGGTGCTAAAAAATGAGTAAGTTCTTTTCAGATTACAAATGATGTGAATTATTATGTAATAGGTTTTCTCTAGAAAATAATAAACATTCCAAACATGATGACAAAAGAAAAATTACCATCTCCTTCCAGGTCATCCGTTTCATCAGCCCAGCTGACTGGTTTGGAAACATAGGTGCTTCCTCCACCAGTACCCCCATCCTCAGCCAGAAAGTCTGTTAGGGAGATAGTCTTCCCCTTCTTATTCTTCTTTTTTGCTGTTTTAAAAGGCAAGAGAAAGATTATTCATCAATACCCAGATATTTACAGAGCTGTACAATGCAATATTGTAAAACGTTATTTTCAAAGAAAGTAACATGGACACTCCTCAAATGGTTAAATTATGGCATTTCCATGAAGGGGTACTATACAGACATAAATAAGGAGAAAGCACAATATAATGGTACAAAAAGAAGAACTGAACAATAAGAAATTTAAAAGTTGCAGAATATCTATTATGTGTAAACACATGTTTACGTATGGAAAAGGGTCTGGGTGTTTGAGATACCCCTTGGAGAGTACGTTTGGAGTGTGGGGGCAACCTTTTATTTTCTACTATATTCACTTATCATTTGAGATCTTTAATTTTGTAAGTACTTCTATTCAGTTACTACTTTCACTGCTCCTTGGATAAAAAAGATAAATAAAAATTCGTATCTCACATAATATATTCTGTATGGCAGTTCTGAAGATTGTTTGACACTTGTAAACAAACCATAGGAGGAAGGAATCACAACTATCCTTTTTCTTCTTTTTGAGACAGAGTCTTGCTCTTGTATCCCAGGCTGGAGTACAATGGTGCCATCTCGGCTCACTGCAACCTCTGCCTCCTGGGTTGAAGAAATTCTCCTGCCTCAGCCTCCCGAGTAGCTGGGATTACAGCACCCGCCACCACGCCCGCTAACTTTTTTGTGTTTTTAGTAGAGACGGGGTTTCACCACGTTGGCCAGGCTGGTCTCAAACTCCTAACCTCAGGTGATCCACCTGCCTCAGCCTCCCAAAGTGCTGGGATTATAGGTGTGAACCACCACACCCGGCCCCATTTTTTTTTTTCTTTTTTGGGACAGGGTCTTGCTCTGTTGTCCAGGCTGTAGTGCAGTGGTGTGGCCATGGCTACCTGCAGCCTCAACCCTCCCAGGCTCATGCGATCCTCCCACCTCAGCCTCCTCAATAGCTGGGACCACAGAGGTACACCACCATGTCCAGCTGATTTTTAATTTTTTTTTTTAATTCCCTATGTTGCCTAGGCTGGTCTCAAGTATCCTGGAGGATCCTAGGCTCAAGTGATCCTCCTGCCTCAGTCTCCCAAAATGCTGGGATTACAGGTATGAGTCATGGTGCCTGGCCACAACTATCAATTTACAGAAAAGGAAACTAAGTCTCAGAGACGTTAAGTGAAACACTAGATGTCTGTAAAGTTACAAAGACATTAGATGGCTAGGCTGAAGATAAAACCCAAGTTTTTTTCATACAAAGTCCAAGGTTCTTTCTATATACCAAGGTATCCTTGCCTCTCAGCAGCTTATTCTATGTCAGATTATCAAAACCATGGTAAAACGTACTGCTATTTGTAGTGTTCAAATGGTAAAGTCATATTCCCTAGATCTCTCTGCCCTCTAGAAAAAATGTCCTTCTCTACTGTAACAACACTGCATATGAGGATATAATGCTAAAAGGAAAACACAAGAAAACCCTAATAACCAACACATTTAAGTGTTTCCCACCATTATGGAATACTTAGTAATCTCCAAATGGTTCAGCTTAGCGAACTGACACTGCTCTTTCTTTTTGGTCCTCAGAACTTCTGAGAAGTTACCACCAATCAAGAACTAATTCAGAAGAGCAGAAGGGACTCAGTAAAGTTCCAGAACTGGCCTGATAGCAGACACTACATGATTAAGAAAAAAGCAAGCAGCTTTGTTGTAAAAAACATTGGCTTCATGGTTTTTATAATCATGAATTTCTCCTCCATGTTCCAACTGTCACCTGATTTTTAATCCAAGAATATCAAAGTTGATGTACCCCTTTTTTAACTGAAGGTTGCTTTCTCAGTTGGTATCTGCCTTTCTTTCAAAATTCAACTTTCAGGAAATAAAGGTAACCAGTTTGCTATGAATGTTAACACACAGCCTTCCGGACACAATCGGAACCTGAAGTATTACGGTCTCAACGTGCAAACCAGATGAACCCGGCTAAAATAATCAAAGTTGACCACGAACATGGTATTTTCCATATCTCTCAAGTGACTTAACATTAATCCAGCTCCAAAAGTATCGTTTATGATCAACCAGATCACATTTTGAATCCATCCTACTTTTTTTTTTTGAGATGAAATCTCGCTTTGTCATACAGGCTGGAGTGCAGTGGCGTGATCTTAGCTCACTGCAACCTCCGCCTCCCGGGTTCAAGTGATTTATCCTGCCTCAGCCTCCCAAGTAGCTGGGACTACAGGTGCGTGCCACCATGCCAGGCTAATTTTTTTTTTTTTTTAGTTTTAGTAGAGACAGGGTTTCACAGTGTTAGCCAGGATGGTCTCGATCTCCTGACCTTGTGATCGGCCTCCCAAAGTGCTGGGATTATAGATGTGAGCCAACGCGCCCGGCCTGCTTTCTTTTTCTTTTCTTTTCTATTTTTTTTTTTTTTTTGCAGTGGTGCAATCATGGCTCACTGCGGCTTTGACATTCTGGGCTCAAGCAGTCCTCCCACTGTAGCCTCTTGAGTAGCTGGGACTATAGGCATGCACCACCACGCCCAGTTAATTTTAAAATTTTTTGTAGAGGCGGGGGTCTTGCTACGCTGCCCAGATTGGTCTTCAACTCCTGGCCTCAAGTGGTCTACCTGTCTCAGCCTTCCAAAGTGCTGGGATGAGATGTGAGCCACTGCACTTGGCCTTATTCCATAGCTTTCAAAGAATACAGTTATGCAGATGTTGGGTCTCATAGCACTTTTATTGCTGCAACCCATATGCAAAAGTTTTTTTTTTTTTGGAGAGGGAGTCTCACTCTGTTGCCCAGGCTGGAGTGCAGTGACACCATCTTGACTCACTGCAACCTCTGTCTCCCAAGTTCAAGTGATTCTCCTGCCTCAGTCTCCCGAGTAGCTGGGATTACAGGCACGTGCCACCAAGCCTGGCTAATTTTTGTTATTTTTAGCAGAGACAGGGTTTCACCATGTTGGCCAGGCTAGTCTCGAACTCCTGACCTCAAAGGATCCACCCACCTCGACCTCCCAAAATGCTGGGATTACAGGAATGAGCCACTGTGTGCCCAGTCTCATATGCAAAGATCTACGGGAGAGTTTAATAAGCTAACATGAATAAGACATGAGGTAAACCACTTATAGTGCCTGGGCTTATTTTAGACTTTTTCATATCATTTAATTCAAAAATAGAGTCTGGGATTAACATGATGCTAGCTAGATATCCTTACCCTCATGGGACTTAATCTAGTATCATCAGCTAATATCCAATTATTAACCTGTCCTTCCACTGGGAGGATAAAAATAGAACTGGTGGTCAGTACAATGAGGTCAAGTTCAACATAAGAACATAACAATCTGAATAAGGTATCCCTTTCCTCTTTGTTCTACATACGTATCTTCTACCAAAACAGCAGAATGTGGAATTAATCTGCCCTTTAGTCCGATTTGGCTTAAATCAACTTTGTAGATCAGTTTCTCAACTCTTACCCCTTGACTCCTTTGACAAACAAGTTTCCTCTTTAATGTTATTTGAAATTTCCAAACAAACTAAATATCATGACTAAAAAATATTAAAGGCACTTTTAAATCTTAGAATGTCTTTTCAAATCACAAGTCTCCCCCTCCTCTGATTGCCACCCACTCCCAGGCCCTCTGGTTAAGAAATTACTGTTGGACGAGTCTTTTTTTTTTTTTTTGAGACAGAGTTTTGCTCTTGTTGCCTAGGCTGCAGTGCAATGGTGCAATCTTGGCTCACCAAAACCTCCATGTCCCAGGGTCAAGCAATTCTCCTGCCTTGGCCTCCCGAGTAGCTGGGATTACAGGCATGCGCCACCACACCTAATATTGCATTTTTAATAGAGACGGGGTTTCTCCATGTTGGTCAGGCTGGTCTCCAACTCCTGACCCCAGGTGATCCTCCTGCCTCCGTCTCCCAAAGTGCTGGGATTACAGGCGTGAGCCACTGCACCCCAGCTATTAGATGAGTCTTAAAAAAAAAAACAGGCTAAAATTCCGTACAAGATCTTTAACTTATTTAACTGCAGCAGCAGCATTGACTCAGTCACAACATAAGCAGCAGGTTTAAAGGAATTAGCCCTTGAAAAGCAAAATCAATAAGCCTAAAGTAGGTGCCCGTGTTTGTTCCACTCCATTTCATTCCAGTAACTGAGAAAAGATGTTATCTAAATCCTCCATGCCCTCTGCTCCCCCAATACCTAGGCCCATTACATGTTTAGATATCAACAGTGTTCCCTCTGCCTTATAAGTAAAGCACTGTTTAATGCTCCAGGTTTATCAATCCTTTGCAGTTCGACAATGAACTGGTCCAATTCTTTAATTTTCTCTAAATCTTATGTGAACTGGTTAAAAAGGTAACAAATCAATCACCTTGCAAAACAAAACGTGTCCCAATTATTTATACATGGTCTACAGTGGGGAAAAGACACCACCAGCTCTTTATATATCCATACAGGTTTAATAGAAGATCTTAAAAACGGAAATATTGCTAAGTCCAGAAGCCCTTAAACAAGAGACAACACATTCATGGTTTTCTTAATAAACAGAATTTGTTATAATAGACACTAAAATAAATACAACCTACTTCTTAACTCAGAGTTTCTCTATTTCAGCACTACTCATATTTTAGCTTAGGTAATTTCTTGTCATGGGGCGATCTTTAGCAGTATCTCTGACTCTGCTCATTAGATGCCAATAGCAACCCCCAAACCCCATTCCACTGTGACAACCAAAAGCGTCTCTGGACACTGCCAAATGCTCTATGGTGGGATGGGGGTTTGGGATGAAACACTGTCCCTTAGTTGAGAACCATGTTCTAAGTGATGTTTCACTTCAATGAATAAAAAGATAAATGAAAAGGAAATGTTAGTCCTATACAAAGGACTTTTCTTTGGGGGTGATAAAAAGGTTCTGAAATTAGATAATAATGATGGTTGTACATCTCTGAATACACTAAACCCCACCAAATTGTACAGGGCCTTGCTGTGTCACCCAGGCTGGA